TCCCGTGTGTAAAAAATTTTATCACAGTTTATTGTGTACATTGTGACGGTTAGTGTGTATGATTTTTTTAACTGAAATGTGAGCTCCAGTGCTTACAAAAGTTATAACGAATGCAATCCAATATATCCAACATTTTGTCGCTTCTTCCCGACTTTCGCACCTAGATTTCTGCAACCGCGAATTTCAGCTTGGGTGGCTTAAACTTCGTTTCCCATATTTCAACCACTGTTTTTGTAGTGTTTACAGCTCCCCGAGCCGCAGCGATTCTTCTATTTTTGATATTCCATCTTCCAACATTGAGACACAGATGGCGACAGATCCTAGCAGCTAAATTGCCATTGTCGGAGATTTCCACAAGGAATGGCTAAAGCACTCCTCAGACACTACCTTCATGGGACGCGAAGCCGAGGCTTTTGCTGTGGTCAACAACCTAAGTCAACTAGTTGACCTCCCCACACGCATCCCTGATCGTATTGATGACCGCGCCCACACCCTTGACCTCATTTTTACATCCACTTCCTCTTATTTCTTCGACATCACTTCCCTTTCCCCATTAAGCTTATCGGACCATTGCCTTATTTCCTTCTTCACTAATTTCTCTCATGCCATTTCACCACCCAACTCCAGACGCACCTTTTGGCGTTACAATTCAGTCAAATGGGACGGTTTTTGTGACTTTCTGGTTTGTTATCACTAGGATTGTTTTTTTTTAATTTGATGTTTCCAACTCTGTTTCTAACTTCAATGAGATCGTCCTTCAAGGTTTATCTTTATATTCCACAAATTTCCAAACCCGACAAACCGCAATCCCCTGAGTCGTTTGATCATGCTTGCATCCGTGCTGTGCGTTTTAAAAATTCAGCATTCCATCGTTGGCACTACTCACCCAATCCAGCATCCCGCAACCGCTTCGTACAAGCCAAAAACAAATGCTCACTCACCATACGGAAAGCTAAAGAACGTTTCGTTTGTCCCAAAGCTCCGCGCTTGGCTTCATCCACCACCGGTAACCGAACATTCTGGTCCTTCGTTAAAACGGTTTCACGTAATTTCTGCCATTCCAACTTTCATCCCATTTGCGATTCCTCTGGTACTCTTGTTTGTGAACCCCACGAGAAAGTTTCCCGGTTTACCTCCAACTCCACCTTATCTGCCCACTCCACTGTTCAACTCTCCTTCTATGCATCCAACCACTCCTTTCTACCTAACATAACAACCAGAAAGGTACGCCAAACTCTTCGTGGTTTGGATATTTGTAAACCACCCGGACGGTATTCCACCTATCGTCCAAATAAAGGTGTGCCCCGGAGTTGACCCATGTTCAACGCCGCCTTTCTCTTCACTCGATCTTAAACCTTTTCCTAATCCATGGAAAATGCCATTATTTTTCTAATCCCAAAGCGCATTGACCCTTCTGATTCCAAAAATCACCATCCCATCACTCTCACATCTGTAATTTCGAAAGTGTTTGAAACCATTATCTCCGAACAGCTGCGTACGTTTGTCGAACACGAAGGTTTGTTGAATGCCCGTTAGTATGAATTTCGCCCTCGTCAATCTACGGGTGACCCACTGGCGTTCACATCAAATTCCTGGTTAACTACACTCGATAATACCGGAGAGACTCACATGGTCTCGCTCGACA